AACACTAGTGCGGTAAATTCAACTAGGAAATAAACGGGAATTACGTCCAGAATCTCTACGACAGGTATCACGAGATTTACTTCTGGGCAATGTTTCGTTTTTGACATGAAAACTTCGAGTGACTACCAATGAAGATTCGTCGCGTCTTAGCGTAAACGTAGAACTAGGAATAACGGTCACGCTCTAACCTCGGAAAAGTATACCCGTACTAGCACAATTCATTCGACTAAGAACGCCTCAGGAGTCTTTAAAAGTTCAACCACCGGTACCATTAGACCGAAATCACGCTTATCGGTTGAATGGGGCCAAGTTCAGCAATGATGTTGAGCTGCAAACACCCCAGGATTGTCCCCGATAATCAAGCACTGATATTGTTGGGAAATGGCCTCCAGGGAATACAGTTAGACTGTTATCTATGGGAGACCTCTCCGTTCTTTATTTCTGCTGAAGTACTCGAGAAAGGGAACTAATCTTGCCTTGTCGCAGACGCCGCCATGGAACCAAAAGTAAACATTACCCACGGCACAGTCAGAGAATCGATTTCGTCAAAGCGGTCTCCAGTGAATACGGAGAGACTCGACTTATGCAGCTAAACCCACGTCTGGGGCCCTACAACATGCACACGAGGGCAATGTTCCTCTTGAGCGGGTGAGCAACGGACATACCCACTTCCCATAAAGCACGTGCGGCATGTCACACAGTAGATAATCCTACGTGTACACAAACCTTCTATTTGTGAGCCTAGTGCACTTTCATTCGATTTACCCTTGTTGCCGGGAAAGCCACACACATACACAGGTGATCATTCAGTTCGGTCCTTACGTTCTTATTATTTGAAGTGTAGTCACTCTTCAGGTAGTACTCGCAGCATTATCTCACCGTTGTGTTGGAATGAACCCGATTCGACTGACAAATTACCATTTTCAAGGGTGTGACAACGTAAGAAATAAGACAACGAAAGATAACAGTAGCGATGTGTTACACTGCCTCTGGGGCGAGATGGCTGTGGTTAGAGCGCGAATTTACTGACTGGAAGGTCCGTGGTTCAAACCCGACCTCTGCCTCTCGACTTAACCCGTCTAGGTTTGGGCAACCTGGCAGTATCCCAGCTCTCATGCACCTTCGGGTGGCATGGTAGCTAGGCGCCGAAAGGGTGATACGGCTGAATGATACACTGCCTCTAGATGACTGATGAAAGAGAATGCGCGTTTTTATCATGGCGGATTTCTGTTACCTGAATTGACCTGCTAGGAACCGAAATATGGGACGAACGATATCCTTGCAAACGTCTAGTCATGTTTAGAGTCGTATGAAGCTATTCTCCAAGGAGAGGTTCCAGAACTCTTCTGTGAAGTCCACAGCCTGAGCAGACGCAGTAGGTTGGACAGTTTGCACATGAATATTAAATTCCACACGGCCGACTTATTCCCCTGCAGGAACTTGCTGATCATACGAGGTTGTAGTTTGGGGTTAAATTTCGGATTACGCCACCAAGCTTTGTCACATAATTGTGCCAGAACAGACAGACAAAACCCTTTCAGTTTCTTAGTGAGGCTTAGCCGTCTCGTATTCTCACCTTTAACTGAACATATCTGAAATACCAGACGGTTGCCGCTATATATATACTGTGAATCTTTGATGATAGGGTAATTCAATTGAATATGTTAGTGAAAGTGAGTGTCATTGAAAATGCTGCGCAAACAAATTCCTCCGATTAGTCTTCTGATACGACCTTCCACTCCCTGAGTTTAATATTTACGATCTTGTAGTTCAGTATATTTGTACAGTTTGTTGCTACGTTTTATCTTGAAATAGCATTGTATAGTATGCGTGTTTAATGACTAGGCATGCAAGAAGCGCCCCGAGATGGGTGGTCGGTAGCTCATTTAGATAAGCCTATGACCGAAATCACCGAGACGAAAGTCCAGTGTTATCTACTGGACCACAACACTAAGAATTTACCAGGTGCGGTGAGAGTAGGTTGGTTGGAAGGGGAGCTAGCATGGGTACCAAATGGAATAACAATTAGTGAACATCTTTGGCCCGTCAAACTCTCGAAATCACTTATTCTAGTTTTCACACTTCTTCATGTAGTAAGCCAGCTGGTAGGGCAGCGGCCAAAAAGATTACGTGACCATTCATCGGCAGGCTTCCACAATACTGCTACGTCAGTTGTGATTAAAATTGCATGTGGATTCCTGTATTATCTCATTCAAATGCTTTTCCAAGAATGCTTAGTCAAGAATGTTCACGCGAGGCTAGGCTGTGCCAAGACGCTTGTATCACGGATGCAGCAGGAAGACAATGCATGAATCAATGTTCTCTCCAGACTTGGTGTTGTTCCGTGGGATGTCTTAAAAGAACGGCGAAAAAAGGACCACAATTCACATGACGCCATAATTGAAACTGTTTTGACAGAATAATGTCAGCCATCATTATGATGCAGTATAACACCTATTGCCATTAATTTTTAATCATATTTGCTCGACGTGATGACATACCTCATCAACTGATGACAAAAATCGTCCTTGAAACCACTAAGAACATGTAGCTCGATGAACACACCTACATCCCAACAACTCAGCAGTGTAGTAAGCGTATCGACTCGCGGATATGGCAATGCATTGCTACCTCAACACGAACTTCATATACCAAAAAGCCAAAATATGTATTAGTGGAAGGATTTGCGTGAAACTGAATCGTTCACCTAAGAAATAGGCAGCGCTTGTTGGCCTATCACAGTAACCCATTCTCGCCTAATTTGGTTAGGCGAGCACATGCCAATATGATAAACGCAAAGCGGGATACTGTGCAGGGAAACTTTCAGTGGGCAGCAAGACAAGATGGCTTTGAGTCCAGCATCCAAGTTAGCTGCATGCTCTTCAAGCTAGTAACAGTAAACAAATTAACCTAGACCCTAACCAGCAACAATGTAAACTTCAGGGGTTCACTGTGGCTTCACAAGATGCTCACATTGCCCGACAGTTCTTCGGGAGGTGATATGTAAATTAGACGTAGATATTTAATCGATAGTCAGAAGGGTAAAACCGATGGACTGTTGTTCGCTTAGTGCCCGTGTTGGGTTCGTTATGTGGTTCGCGGCTCCACTGTGTGCCACACGAACTTTTACGTTGACTGACTTCCAAAACAGGCACGTCCTAAACAAACATGCCAGGAATACAAGACAGGTTTTCGAACATAGTGCTTCTTGCCTAACAGAGACAACAATAGAGGGGTTGGCAGTGGTTCCAGGATAGGAGCTTTGTGAGTTGCTCTCGTGAACCAGCTCCATGGAGTGAAAAATGAAGACGTAGGCTGCCTGACAGGTTCGCATGCGTTTTCTCACGGATTCATGGTTAGATGTTTGTCCTGAATGGCATAAACGGTCTTCGTTTCCACCACTGACATAATCGGTCCATCAGAGTTACTCTAAGCTCTCAAAATGGTCTTCGCAGGACCTAATTATTTTCCCACTAGTTCTTACGGTGAGTATTGAAAATAAATAGGTGCGACAAAGTACACGATTACGATATCAAGGGTCTATTCCGTAATATTCCACAGCTGCTCAAATCGACCATGCGGTACCGACTACGATGGTTTGGACACGTTTACCATGAAGCACATTCCGAACTGGCCAAGAACACTGCCTATTACCGCTAACCTGCTCAGTATGTTGTCGTCTTGAAGAGAAAAATACAAAAGCACATAGTCCGTAGCATCGAGCGAGGTAAGGAAACCGGATGACGCTGTGTTCGGATGTTGCATTTGATTGTGCCAATTAGGGGACGTCGGCGACTAATCCTTTTCTTGGAGGACAAGTTTTTTTGGGACCAATTGTTACAGTGAGTACTGAATACAATAAGGCCGTGTGTAACTGTTACATATCGGCCTTTCTTGAGAAGGGGGATTTCATACTACAGATGAACACAGCATGACCTTTGATAGTAGAAGACTATCCAACCCAAGCCAAGTCTAAAGAAACTGGAGTGAGATGGCCTCTATTAGAGGACACTAAAGAGCGTTTGACCGTTGGAAAAAAAATTCCGGAAGGAGATCAGATCTCGTAATTCAAACTCTGCAACTAAGTCTCTCCATCCAGATTTTGGAGGCATTGTTCTTTCGGGTACCTGTTCTTTGGAATTATTGCATTACGTTTCGATGATGTTCTGAACGTCGTAGTAGTTTTATCTTTGTGAACATCCACTGAACCATTGGATACTCTCTCAAAACCTCTTCATCGGCTAACCCGTTGAGCAACGATCCACTCACTGAACCCAGAAAATGAGAACCATTTTTCTGTCTGACGGCTTGAAAACGGTAGTCCTTTTCGCATGCCGAAACCGCAGTTTGAGTGCATTAAACTTGTCCGCTAGACCTTATTCAATTGTTGAATGTCACAGTTTATTCAAGCTTCACCAAACAATCAGTCAACATCCTCTAGATTTTGGAAATTCAAGAATGAATGCTGTTGGAGGATCACAGCTAAAAACCGACGGTGACTGTGATCCCACAACAAGCACTTGGTGAGTAACATGAAGCACCCATTGAGTGATATCTGAGTAATAGCTTTGATCACAATCAGATAAGTGGTGACGACCATATCACAGTCCTTCAGGATTCGGGATGGGTGGAACCGGGCTGACTGAGCAGATTCGTCACAAGGTTGCTCAATGAAAGGCTGTTATGCAGCAGTAGAACTTTCCAGATATTCGACCGGATAGTGAAAAAAAAACATTTTGAAGAAGCGATACGCGACAAAATCCGGAAAGCAACAAAACGAGCAATCTCGCATGATACTGTTTGTGAGGGGGCTACGCGATGCTTGCATACGTTATGAGTTTCAGTCACAGTGAATCTGTATCCGACTGTCTCCTGATCGAGATCGAGTATCTCGGGCGCGTACGGGATACGAGTATCTGAGCGATGAAGTGCTGGATTAGCAGATTCGTGAAGGAAACTAAAAAGTGCATCAACAGAAAATTTACGGTAACTTCCGCCAGTAACATTTGGCTTCACCTAAGTACAATTATAGTTCTTGAACCTTCAAACGGCACCACAGATTCACGATGAAAAACTACCAGTTGGCAAATGTGCAATCCCAGAGCGATGAATCACTTTCTCCGGAAACCTACCGGAGGATACAGATCTTGTTGCGAATAGATGTGACAGAAGCCATTACGAAGACACGAAAGCACCAAATAGACATCCGAATAACGAAAAACGGACAATAATCCTAAAGATTAACAGACAATACACATATGTGGTCAGTAAATGCAGTGGATCGACAGAAGGGTGAGATAATTGCATAGAAAACTATAGGGGGAGGGGAATCTGGATGGGCTGATAGGGTAAGGTGTCAGGTCTTCAGCCATGGATGAGCTTCCAAAGTCTCCTTGTCACGGTCACCATAATCGTACAAGAGTTCTTCGCCTAAGGGTTGGAAAAAAAGGTCTCGTTATAACCGTGCAGGATATCACGGACTGAGAACGATTTCTTCACATCCCTAGGCTGTTGGCTCATTGTGCATGCGGTCTAAGTTCACGTAAGTATGTGACGAGCGGGAAGACCGGGTAACAAAGACACAATATGACAAGAGCTAATGGACAAGTTAGTCAATTCAACCAATTCAATTTACCAGCCATGGAGCCATGTGCCATAGGCACATTGGTTCTAGCTGCTACAGTTTCGAGTACCGTAAAACGGTAAAGTGGAATGAATGCTGTTGGAGGATCACAGCTAAAAACCGACGGTGACTGTGATCCCACAACAAGCACTTGGTGAGTAACATGAAGCACCCATTGAGTGATATCTGAGTAATAGCTTTGATCACAATCAGATAAGTGGTGACGACCATATCACAGTCCTTCAGGATTCGGGATGGGTGGAACCGGGCTGACTGAGCAGATTCGTCACAAGGTTGCTCAATGAAAGGCTGTTATGCAGCAGTAGAACTTTCCAGATATTCGACCGGATAGTGAAAAAAAAACATTTTGAAGAAGCGATACGCGACAAAATCCGGAAAGCAACAAAACGAGCAATCTCGCATGATACTGTTTGTGAGGGGGCTACGCGATGCTTGCATACGTTATGAGTTTCAGTCACAGTGAATCTGTATCCGACTGTCTCCTGATCGAGATCGAGTATCTCGGGCGCGTACGGGATACGAGTATCTGAGCGATGAAGTGCTGGATTAGCAGATTCGTGAAGGAAACTAAAAAGTGCATCAACAGAAAATTTACGGTAACTTCCGCCAGTAACATTTGGCTTCACCTAAGTACAATTATAGTTCTTGAACCTTCAAACGGCACCACAGATTCACGATGAAAAACTACCAGTTGGCAAATGTGCAATCCCAGAGCGATGAATCACTTTCTCCGGAAACCTACCGGAGGATACAGATCTTGTTGCGAATAGATGTGACAGAAGCCATTACGAAGACACGAAAGCACCAAATAGACATCCGAATAACGAAAAACGGACAATAATCCTAAAGATTAACAGACAATACACATATGTGGTCAGTAAATGCAGTGGATCGACAGAAGGGTGAGATAATTGCATAGAAAACTATAGGGGGAGGGGAATCTGGATGGGCTGATAGGGTAAGGTGTCAGGTCTTCAGCCATGGATGAGCTTCCAAAGTCTCCTTGTCACGGTCACCATAATCGTACAAGAGTTCTTCGCCTAAGGGTTGGAAAAAAAGGTCTCGTTATAACCGTGCAGGATATCACGGACTGAGAACGATTTCTTCACATCCCTAGGCTGTTGGCTCATTGTGCATGCGGTCTAAGTTCACGTAAGTATGTGACGAGCGGGAAGACCGGGTAACAAAGACACAATATGACAAGAGCTAATGGACAAGTTAGTCAATTCAACCAATTCAATTTACCAGCCATGGAGCCATGTGCCATAGGCACATTGGTTCTAGCTGCTACAGTTTCGAGTACCGTAAAACGGTAAAGTGGAACATACAACCAAGATTTGGAGGTGAAAGCAAGTTCAGTTCGTTCGGAAATCGGGTAGCTACGCACTGAAGGCAATAGCTTTGATGCACGAGCGCCACTGACTGCGGGATCGGGCCATTTCCGCTAATGGTGATTTGAGTCCCGGGGTCGCCATCCGGGGAGGCGGTAATTGCTCACTCGACTAAGTTTACTGGTCAGTGTTTTCGTACTTCATTGCCAGGTCATACACCGTCCACCTCTCGGTTCCTTCCACTCAGCACAGGGCTGGGAGAAAAGAGCTCTGTGAGGCGGACAGTCTTCTGACATGCGCAGTACATGTCCCAACCAGCGCAACCTATGAAGCGTGAGTGATTCAGCTACATCGGGAGAATTTCTTCCGAAAACCATCTGGCGTACCTCAGTATTACTAATCCGATGTTCCCACCAGACCGAAATCTTCCAAATGTTCTCTGCGCGTATCAGGAAGGTGTCCTCCATCTACTGAGTAGGAATAAAAAACACTGCAAACTTATTCGTTATGAAGAGATAAACGTCGCAGGTGGTTAAAACTCCGCAAGCTATGTCATGCACGCTGCTATTTCCTTGCCAGATTGTCCGGTCAAAGTTCAACTACGGTTGTGCGCTGGGCTTAGGTCGCAAAAGAGGCTGGGTCACGCTCACAGACTGTCTTAATTTGATATGATGCACGGATATGCACGGTTTACTGCCGTCCATAGTGTAGGCGCCTTTTCTATTGACGTTCGCCCTGAGGACATAGAACTTCTTCACACTATGCATCTTCCTTTACCTTTTCTTTTCAACCTCTGCTAAAGCTTTCTTTCCCAATGGTTGTGTGACGGTCAAACGCCAGTATTCATTACTGGTGCATTTCTACCGATGATGACTAAGGTGAGGGTGTTCGTCGCCCTGTTATCGTCGTTGGGATGATTATACGCAGATAGTAAACCACGGAATCTCCACCTACTTCCCGTCAACTGCAACTCTCATTCTATTATCTGGTTCAATTCAACAGTTTTAAAGAAATTCAAAGGTACAATTTAAACTGGTATCGACAGTAGACCTGACTGGATCTCGTTCATACGAGTGACTGATGGCGAAGGATATCTGGAAAAACAACCAAACCAAAACTTGAGGCGTTCTTCATGCTGCACATTCCACTTAAGCATATTACAAATGAGTGATTCAATTGAATTTCAGATGAGCCCGTTAACGTCAGTTTTAGCTGCAAACGATGGACAAACCCAGATTTTTTGTCGGACCTTATTGGTATGGCAATAGGAGATAACCGTTTGAGTTCTTTCTCCGGATGAATATTCTGGTTACTAAACGTCGGTATTTAGTTGACGTGGTCGGTCAGATGCGTTCCTCCAAAGCGCCTACTTAATAAAGTAAAGTTTCATGTTCACATGTTAGTGAGGAACCCGTACCCATAATACTCACCTCCAGAAAAATTGAGCTTTTCACATGGATCAACCTCGTAACGCACTTACGGGGAACGGTTCCAAAACTACTGAACGGAGCAATGCACACAAACAAGTGGAGAGGTGATGCACGCTTAGAGGTGCGTCGATATAAATAAGACCCAGCATTGCTCCACTGAATGACATTCGCGAGGTCGAGCGCACCTCGTCCCCACAGGAAAGCCCAACGTATACAACCTACTAAACAAGGACTTACGGTTGAGACAAGAACTGAACACCTACTAGTCCTCCAGGTTGGGATCCGAAATACATGTGGCGACTTGTATCTAAAGACTACCATGGCAGTAGTATGTGAAATACCGTTGCCTCTCCGTTTGGTTGGTGAGTCAAGGCTTTCATTTGGGTGTAAAGCTTTCTGAGCACATTCTCAGAATCTTTTGACACGTACAACCGTGAAGTGTATAACTGAAGTGTCACCAATCACCGACGTTCGCTATTAGCGTGGCTGTCACCGAGAAGGATGAGCGTTCCCCCACCTCTGAATCACAATCACCTCATTATGGGACTATCCTCTCCCAATCCCGTTGCCACTGACGAACGAGTCTGTCATTAAGAACAACGGGATTCCTAAATACTACTGGTGACAAACAGACCAATACCTGTTTGACTCCTCAGCGTTCGAAAGTCCTTCAAACTGAGAACGCACACTGCAATTAACAAAACTTTAGCTCATCACACTCGACCAGCGTAATCCTTGAGACCATGTCTGAGCTTCAAACCCTAAAGGTTTACTCACACGGTTAATTTGTAGGGTACCATCTCGTCAACGTTTATCTTCAACCATCTTACCAGAGTCTGGTTGTTATCCCTTCGACGTTCATCTTCAGCCACTTTACGAGAGTTTGATTGCTATCTCGTCAAAGTTTATCTTCAACCACTCTCACAGAGTTTGGTTACTACCTCATCAATGTTTACCTTCAACCACTAGCATAATTTGTCTAACACATGCACACCAACTAGTTCACTCCTGTTTTTTGGGCCTCTTTCGAATGCATCCGAGGGTTACGTTGATGGAAAAGGAGGGAAGATGGAAAGGAGAAGGACCCCCCACAAGATCCAACGACCCAACAATTAATCCGCTTCTTGCTTCATTGTGGGACCATTGGACAGATGACCCGATAGGTCCTAGGTTGCGATCTATACCAAAAGGGCCTCTTTAGTTTTATCGTCGATGTGTTTCTTTGTAAGATTATCCGTTGGGTTTGTGATTTCCCTTTCAAGATCACCATTATCTCAGGTACATAATCATCCACGATAATCCATCTTGTTGCGATGGAGACACTCATGAAGTTGCCATTTGGGAATGATAACAGAGTGTGGGTATCTCCACAGTCCGCAGGCGATGCCCCCCGTGTAGTTAGATTGACGCACTCCCTCCCTGTCTCGATTATGGGCCAACAGGGTGATCCTGTCTTAGGACATTGGTTAACAACAAATGGAGTGATAACAACCTCGTTGGGTATCTCTCCCACGGATATTACTTCATCTGGAATGGTGATTGACCTTCCTGATGAATGCATGCTTTACACACTTCATTAACACAACTATACTCCAGTTTAAACGCAGACATGTAAAGGATTTTGATTCTGTCAATTGAGTAGTTCTATGGCTTGATGAAGGATATGTCCATCCCCGTCTTCGTGAATGAGACAGTGGAGTCGAGAGGGAAGGAAACGCCGAGGAGTTCATACATTTCTCGATCACGCTGTCCGAGGAGGTGACGTAATGAGGCGCAATCCGCTGTTTGACATTGTAAGGACAACTTTGCCTATTCATGTCCAGGCCCTTGTGACCTCTAGTGCCATTATGCTATGCCTCGTGACTGAACTGATGATACCTCTGAGATATGACTCCTGTGAGGCTATCACCCGAACCTTCTGGTCAGTCCTGTCAGATGATACGTAGAGAGTGTTCCCATCTCTTCCAATATTGCCTCATCTTCACGATGGGGAATCCCCATAGTTGTACCTAGGGAGAATGTAAAATGGTTGAAGATAAACGTTGACGAGATGGTACCCTATACATTCATTCACTGGATACACCTTGATTCATGAAAAAACAACAACTATCACCGTTGTTCTAGAAAAAACTACTTCGTTTACAAGTGAAACCCTGTTAACTTCGCCATGTGTAGCTTCAGTGGGATGAAACTTAGAAGCGGCGAAAGTAACCAGGGAGAATGAGAATCCCGGGTGAACATTACGGATATAAAAAACGTTCTAGTGCCAATATTACGGGGACAACAGTACTAACAAATGAACTCCCCGTGCACTTTGCATAGAAACGACCTCAGAAAGGACCCAAACAAAAACCAAAAATACTTACCAGGAAGGATCATCTGTTTTGCGAACAGGACCAGTCGTGGAATACCATCAAGTGGGATGACCTTGACATGACAGTTTGGATGTAGTCTGCTGTGATTGATCAGACGGCCAAGACGAGGAGTCTCTTGAGTTGCATCAACGCAATATCTTTGACCGCTGCAGGTCCAACAAGAAGTGGAATGCCATTGTATGTGAAGCACACAAATGATGGGATAATATAGATTGAAAAAAGAAGTAATCACATTACTCACTTGTGAACAAAGTAAAACATGTAAGAGCCAATCGACGGATCGCGTTTGTACTCCATTTCTCGTTTCTTGGCGATTTTTTCAGGAATCAAATCTCCCGCGTACTCCACTACGAACTCACCTTCTTGGAAGACGCGAGTGGCGACAATGCCGCGTCCTTTCTCCTCGGTGATGATGATCTACAGAGGGAGATGACTGATGTGGTTGAATGACTCCAAGACAGTGAAGCACTAGAGCTCAACACTTGATGAAAAAATGCTATGAAGGGAAGCGACAACGGTACCCGATGTGTATTTCAGAAACCAATTTCCACAGTTCGATTCTATCTACACGTCTTTCTAGCTAGCATCCAAGAATTTAATGTTTAGAACGACAAATGGTCGGGTTTATGCTGTCCACTGTTATCCTCATAGTATATGGATTTGTCAGTCGCGCTACCGCATGACGACGGGGGACTGGAACTTCACACATGGTTCTGCTACCAGGCGGACAAGCAGAACACAGAGCAAACATTCGCTTCTCACGAGAAGGACAAAAATAAGATGTATGAATCTTCGCACAAGAAACCGTATCATTTAGGTATCACACACAGCAACCAACGTCATAGAGATTTTCACTCACTTTCATCCCACTTTCGACCTCATCTCGTATCGAAGTCAAAACGTTAATCTCGCGTTCACGCTGAAGTAGCAAAAAAGTAAACAGTTGAATGAATAGAACGGGGTACATTATTGACACCAGCACCTAGTCCCAGTGCTTTCCGTGCAATATGTTATTTCGAAAGGCTTGGAATGAGGTGATTTTTACACAGTAACCTTGGGGGCAAGATGGCCCAAGTGGTTTGAGCGCAAATTTACTGACCGGAAGGTCCGTGGTACGAATCCGACCTCCGCCACTCGACTTCCCCTGTCTAAGCTTGGGCAACCTGGCAGTATCTCAGCCCTCGTACTTCCTTCAGATGGCATGGCAGCTAGGCACCAGAAGAGTGCTACAGCTGAACGCTTTTTCTTTTTAAGTAACCTTGGAAGAATACCGCATGGTTATTACAAGTAATAGCTCATCTGCTATGGATGATGAGACAGCTGCACAGTGCTTCTCAGCGCCGACTGACTTTCCCGAAAGAGAAACTCCTGGTGAAAAACCTCAAAGCATCCTCAGCAAACAAGCTACAGGTACTTATCCCAGAAAGGAAAGTATTGCACAAGTCACACAGTAAGTTTCAGAAGCCGGTCAACACCAGAACATAACTTTGGCTGCACGAGCAATCTTAGTCATCATAGTTGAGTTCAAAGCACAAATTTGTCCGTTTGTTAACACCTGAACTATCCCAAGTCGGATTGGCGAGTGAATGGACGAAAACTGAGGCCCTGTAGCACGTCAAAATAAGAGACATACAATGACGTTAAATGATGAGACCAAATGGAGTTGTACTGCAGTGGGAGACAAGATAGCTTAGGACATGCAGGCCAAAAGTGAATATCACGGTGAAAAAAACGAACACACATAAAGAACAAGGATTGCTCACTTCCTTATCTTTCTCATACTGCCGAGCAGTTCGCCGAATACCATACGCGGTCAGTTTTGTTTGACGCTTCTCAGCGCTGGTGCGTCGTTGTGTATCAGCTATTTTTTCCACAGGAAGATTCTTTTTGGGACTAACAGAAGCAGCCTTTGTACGGGGCAGTTGACGTGTTGAATTAGGACAAGGGCGGGCATCGACACTGCGAACGCGACTAGATTTCTGAACACTATGGCAGTTGGAAATCAAATGCACGGGATATGAACCAACGACGGGGGAAATAAGACGAGGTAAAATAGTTCAAATAAAAAAGCTGACTCCACACGGCCTAACAGATATCAATGAGGACCTGTATGAAGGAACTTACCGAATTTCCGCAGCCCCGTTCTGTCGGGAAGAGGTTAACTTGGTAGGCAAAAGTGTTTGCTTCGTATCACGCCGAAGTCTAATATCTGGTGATGAAATGGTGCTCACGTCTTGTTCCGAAATGTCTCTTGGAATGACCGCACCATGAGTTGTAGTTTTTTTCTTTGACTTCTGAAAGGGTTTCTCCTCGGATTTCTCAACGTTATCCTGAGTGTCTTCGTCCCTCATTGGAACAGTAACTTCGTCGTCATCCTTCGACTGTATGAAAGAGAAACAGAGAGTTGTCTGTCTCAAACTTCCAGATGATCTGTCCCCTGCAGGAGTGGTCGATGGTTCACAACCATCGATTGGTGCTTGTGATGACTTTGTCACACGAGGGGTCGAAATGCAGTGTGGTTTCGCGTTGTCCAAGTGCGGACTACCACCGTCAGCCATATGCCAATAGTGAGGATGTCTTCGTTTCTCTGCCAACGCCATGGCTAAAAAGTTTTTGGAAGATAGGTGAGATAAAAAACGCAAACACACAAGGTTTTCTATTGATATCCAACTGGGAACTATATCTAACAAAGACTCAGTCTACAAATCGAGGGTGAAAGTTCGTCGACAATTTGCAGTCATCCGAGGAAACTGAGCATTATTTGCTAGAAAGTCTGAGACAATCCGCCACCATTTTAATGAAGACCTTCCATTACTAAACAGATATATCGTCAACTATCGTGGTAAGGCATAGATGAATAGTTTTATAAACAAGCAGCTGGTTATTCAACTGGTGGCACAAAAGATGGATGGGCGTCCACGGTAGAGCAGTAGGACCAGGGACAGGAAACATCCTTGGCACAATCCTGTGAGAATGTGAAAGTCGACAGACTGTCAAATACTTGAAATCGGGGTTTGTCACAACAGTGCAAGGACCAAATCAATTCAATAAAACTGGGTGAAAATCCAGTAAGCAAAATGATATCCCCCCGCGCGTTGCGGTTACCGGAGCACGAGGAAGTAGGGGAATTTGGGAAGTCCGCAATAATAGGAAAACCCTGTCAACAGGTGTCGTGCACCAGCAACCTCAGTATTCGAAGAGCCGACTGATCCTCACACAGGAGATATCCGAAGTGAGGTAAGCAGTGATACATGTATAGAAGATGACTGCTAATATCAGCAGCAGCAACAACCTCACCCAACGATAGCGCCTGAGACGTGGATAGATTTGTAGCCTTCGATCGGAAGTAGCTAGTGGTCTCGGGTCATTCTTCTGAGTGTGCAAGTTGGAAGGGTGGGCACGAACTGAAGGCAAAGATCAGGTGCACGAATGTCATTCAATGTGGTTGTCATGCCCATCCGTGCCGCGTCTCGGGTCTCAAATGAGGGAAGGTGTAGCCTCAAACCCGACTGAGTTTGAACGTTATACCCCTTAAACCCTTTAGCAAATCATCACTTAAACTCCACTCGGTAGCAAACGGAATAAAAAAGGCTCTCCAAGAAAGCCTATCTACTGACAACGAATGACACGTGACGTTCATTCACAACTACCAATCCGAAATTCGAATCCCATTCGGGGGAGGCTTCAGAGATATAGGGGTTCAAAATGTGATAACTTTTGTCCTTTGCTTGTATTCTTCACGCCTCTGATACGTCACTAGCAGGATTACTTCCACGTAGCAACGTATTCGGCTTCATTCAGTTCCACTACCGTGCGCCGGCGTCAAGCATATAGGCTACTGTTGACCAACAGATCCTTTCGAATGTCAGCCATTTTAGGAAAGAAGCGATGGAACACCATTGCTTCTTTATCTCGTTTGGGAGGAAATTCGAGTAGTTCCGCCAGTCTAAATTCTAGCCACATGAATCCTTCGATTTCTTTTTCATCGCGCAATTAAATTCTCCACTGCTTTTCACAGAGCTTAAGAACAAACGAATGGGGGACTTTCATTTCTCATTAAATAGAGGAAATATGTTAATCTGTGAAGGGTCCTAGAGAAACGGATATTGTCGAGAAGGCTGGATATGATGTTCCGCGAATGCGTTCAGTGAGCCAATGAAGAGGACCAAGCGTTCAAAAGGCAGAGTTGGGAAGCAGCGGATCCATCCATGACTGCTGCATATAAGTTGGAAGAGATTAGTGTGCAAGGAAGTTCTTCACCGACTGAGACAAAGGATTTTGAGGAAAAGGGGTGCAGTTGTCGCTGTTTCTCATGAGCAGAGGACGTAAGTTCATAACATCCACTTGATTTGGAGACGGAATCCGTCCCGGTGCGTCGAAAGCTTAGCCAGGGACCACACGAAGTGATCGGACAAGCTGTACTACAGATTGTTCAGCTGTAGCACCCTTTGAGTGCTCAGCTGCCGTGTCACCCGGAAAAGGCAGAGGGCTGGGATACTGCCAGGTTGCCCGAACCTAGACAGTGGAAGTCGAGAAGCAGAGGTCGGGTTCAAACCAGGGACCTTCAGGTTAGTAAATTCGCGCTCTAAATGTTGAGCCATTTCGCCCCCTGCGCTGCAGATTCCTTCCCAGGATACGGATGCAGATGGCGCCTTTTGTAAGTCACAACAGAAAAGACCAAACCGCCCCGGCGGTGTTGAAATTTCAAAGGACGAGCAGTTACGACTACTGTCCTAATGTCCGAATACAGTTGGAACACCCATCACAGTAGTTATTGGGATTCTCTAAATGCAATCATCATCACTGGCCGCAATGCCCCGGCGCTTAACTGATCAGGGTGACTGATTATAGTCCATTATGAATCCTTTCCCAAAGGTCGCAAATCTCGACACGAGATGAGCCTTCATTTTGTCATTCTGTTAGGAGGCACTTCTCCTACGAACATATTGCTCACATTTCTCTCTCTATATTTCAGCCTTTCATTGGACTGTTTGTTCCATTCCATTCTTGATTCTTCGAATCTCGATATTGGCTGTTCAGTTGCTGCAGTATAATTTCCTCAAGGCTTTTTGTCTTCTCAATTTCGTGTGTAACTGACAAGGTTGATTGACTGATTAGTAGAGAACATAACACATTCAAAGTACGAAGACAATCTGCTCTAGTCAAAAGCCAACCAGAAAACCGGATAAACGAATGAAGAACAGCCGAACACCACCAGATCTCAGGGAACGCCAACATGCTGGAGCAAAGTTTATTCACGGGAAGTTATATCTTAGTGTATCCGATCTTTAGAGCTAATCACTTGTATACCACTTATTATTCTTGTGCAAAGTGGAGAATAAAAAACTGTTATCTGATTAGATCTGTTTTCCTTAATAAGCGACAAGCCAATCGTCAGAGATAAGTTTTTGCTTGTTCTTCAGCTTTGTGGTTCTTTCGAACGATGCCGTTCATTTCTATCCGAACCCCAGGACATGCATCCCGAAGAACACAGTAAAATCTCCATCTTAAGTGATAATTCCTGCAAATTATACTTTTGCATCCCTCTTTAACTCACAAGAAATTTCCCCGAACGGATTTTGTAGTTGAATTCTATACTCTTCCCCGAGCGAAAAGAGGACAGCTGACTGATTACGGACACCCAGGTTTCAAGAAATTACTTTCATCAAGTATTCAATTAGTGGAATATTGTGACAAACTCCGAGGCACTTACGACACTTAAATATCTTAGCGGTCACAATGTGATACCAAAAGTATGTTGTGTAGGCGCGCAATCAGACTATCCCTCTGCACATATGGCAGGCAATATGCTGTATGACTACTGGTTTGTCCGAATCGACTCTTCCGAGGCGGGCGCAGGCGAACGCGCGACAAGCGTTGACATGCGCGTGCGATCATCTTTACGTGAGGTTACTGGCAGCGTGCGTATGTTGAGTGTTCACACAATATACACCCGTGCATTTCCATTCAAATTTTCAGGGTAGAACTAAAATCAGTCCTGTTGGGACTGATTCCGTACGTCCAACTCCTTCAAGTGTGACCTTGCCGTGAGATACTTGGCGAGGAAAACTCAAAAACGAAGCCTAATCGATCTACATGTAGATTTGTGCACGAACCCATTGAACCCACGAGACTTCTGCAACTTCAAGAATCTGGGCGTTTTTGTCAGCATTCTTATCCGTAAAACTGTATGGATCACACGGTGGTAGTGTATACCCTGATCTTAACAGATAGACGTCACGCCTGTGCCATGGGTGTCCAAGGTTAGCAAAAGCTACCCTAGCCTTCCCGAACCGAGATGTAATCTCGTCTGCAGCCAGTCCAGCTGAACATATATACTTGTCCAGGTAAACAAATTTATCTACAACGTCGACTGGTGAAAGGCTCCAGTATGTTTCAAATCAGAACACAGTCGTCTGTCGCAACATATTCACCTACATTCCTTGGTTGTTGGCTTAAACATCACTTGCGCTCACCGGTCCTGGTGTGCGAGTCCTTGATTGTCTGGGTTTGTAAACCTTGGTGCAGACAATACATTTTGTTTTGTATGTTTAGGCCTGTCAACAGGGAGGAGATCCTTCAGCCGCACCAGTACTGAGCGGGAAGTTGTCCACCAAAAAGAATATCACTCCGACAGTAAACGTATTCGAAAACCTTCTAATGACTTCATACGCCCCTAGTTTGTATGGGATGGCAACTGCTCGCACCAACTCCTTGTTCGTGATGGGACCAACACCTACCTTAGCTGCCGCTGTATCAAACTGAGGATGCCTGCTGTCCTGAATTCTCTTTTTTTAACTCATATTGCGACGCTGGTCGGTCAAACTCGTTCGCGTACAGCGCACGCCAGTTTGATTCTTTCAGAAACCAGTTGTGTGGATTGACCGAACTAATCTGCAGACATTCCCGGCATTCTTTACCCCTTCACGATCGGCGCATATGTCGGACTGATTTAAGTTCGGGACTGGGGGCAGTCGTTCTTCGATCCGCACAGCGCGACTGCTCCGTGTGATATACGGTGACTGAGCGAATTTGTTAGCATCGTGCCACAGGTCACGCCACTGTGCAAGGATCGTCCAGCTGTAGCACCGTTTGAGGGCCTAGCTGCCATGCCACAGAAGTAGGCATAGCACCGTTTGAGGGCCTAGCTGCCATGCCACACGAAGTAGGCACGAGGGCTGGGATACTGCCAGGTCGCCCAAGCCTAGACAGGGGAAGTCGAGTGGCAGAGGTCGGGCTCGAACCACGGACCTTCCGGCCAGTAAATTCGCGCTCCAACCACGTGGTCCATCTCACCCCCCAACTGTGCAAGAATGTGGCGATACCGCTCTATTGTGAATGGAAGTCCGACGGTGGAGCAGCTGGAATTCACAGGAGAGTTCTGATGAACTCGTCTACCTCCGGGATCTACCAGCCCCTCAGTTGCTGAGTGAGTTGTCCGCCCCCACGCGGCTCTGAAAATTTAAGAGAAGCGACTCCGGAAAAGTTCGTGATCGGAACCCACAAAAATGTCCTGAGACGAACGGCAATCAATTATTGATGCTCACAACCGGTAAGTTATGGTGATGTGATCATCCACAAAGCTTCACAAACCAGTTTGGTTAGTGGATAGAGTTCGTCATCAAGATTGGGTGTTGGAACAGACGTGGTGTATCGCTTTACTTGCCGCATACAGAAGGGCGAGTAAGCGAAAACTGTTCATTGCTGACGCCTCCGTTCTTTCCCTTGCACACATTCGTTATTCTCTCCATCCTTATCCCATTGCCAGCGACATTTCTTCACACGTTCTTGACGAGTGACACATCGGGCTGTCACGTTGACGTTAGCTTTACCACCTACGATTAACTCGGCCGCCACCGCGGTAGATATTTCTAGACCACTATTCAGGCTTCGACCCTTGAATGTTGTCACTCCCAGAGAAAAATTGCACACCAGGGTCATTCCTATCGATATGCGTCGCCTTCCTAAGGCAAGGACTCAAAACCTAAGTACGGTTATTGGTTCTGCTGGGATTGGCATTGTGTCAAATGACCAAAACAATCGGATTATGTTTGAATGGTTCCCATTTGATAGTCTCCTGCGCTGTTCGTTTAGCAACGTCTGCTGGAGTCTTCCGTAACCGCACCAGTAATCGCCTTCTGTTCATCATATCTGCTTGCGCCCAACATACTGTGGCTATGGTACCCTCAAAGAAGGCTTTTCCGACGTGTTGAGCACGCTACGACTTCATATATTCCTGTGGCTGTCCAGGCTATTAATTAGCGAGTGGATTCAGAGCTGCTGAGGATCAGACGTTTGTCTTGGACCGGTATGGGGATATCCAGATAACAGTGAAGGTCTGCTGCAGTTATCTGCCTACTAAAGAGTGTTTCTGTGAAGTACCAACTTCCGACACAACCGAAGACGCTTGACAAAAGATGACTCCATGGTACAACGAGACGAACGTTGAAAGACCTTCAACATCTTGTGGAATATGCATTCGACATCGGTCTCGTCCTCGAAGAGAAGAACCAATGCACGTATTTACTAACTGGTGGGTCCGTGGTGCGAACCCAACTTCGGCATCCTGACTATTCTTGGCGTAGGGAGTATCTCGTGTAAACAAGAAGCTACGCACCGAAAGGGTTACAGCTGAACAATTAATTTTATTATTGTTTCACGTCATCTTCGAAGGATGTGTGAGGACAAGAACCGAGAACTGCAAGCAGAAATCAGGCCAAGAAACGGTTGTGCATACCCCGTCTTTACACTCACCAAGTGTTCGGGGCAATGGCATCCGATTAGACATCCTATAATCACATGGAGAAGCGACTCAGAAGGGACATAATCCCATTGGGTTTTTGACCGCATTGTGGGTAACGGTTGACGCTACTAGTATGGAGTTCATCAGAAAAAATTTGCTGCTTCAAACACTATTTCAACCCAAAATAAAAGCGAATTCGACTACCAACGCAAACAAACCGAGACCACCTGGTCGGACTAGGGGCCTAGCAACGTGATTGATGGCTTTACCTAGGGGCAATGACCTTGGGCCAATCGCATACAGCTACGGGTGAGATTTCCCGGAACTTGTAAGGAAACGACTCCATTCACCATGACAGGTAGATGAAATTAACCGTGCTATGAACATCTTGCCTGTTTGCGAGCTTTTTGAATGCTAACAACTATCGGGAATTCTCCCTTGGAATCCATCCAATCAAGAGGAGCATAGTGGCCGTGGCAGCTCGTCCGATTCGGTCTATTTCGATGACCTTGAGTTTACATATCCCAACGTCAACAACAATGATGAACGATTGGTTAAAACAAAACATCCAACTTATTCAACCTCGTATTTGGATTTGGATATCTCACAAAAAGCGATCACTCCTAGCCGTCCACTCTCTTGCCTTTTTAGAAGCTTCGGCTTCCAACCGATGAAAATATTTCGCGCGCTAAATTTGAAATGAAACATTAGTCGGCGAAATGGTGAACGGTTTCGACCGGCAGTTGCAGATTGAAGTCACAAAGTTTACGAAATTATGCAAGGAGAAACAGGAGCAGTTGTTGGCTTCATGTGCGAGGGAGGAAAAGGTAGTGTTGTCACTAGGGATGCTAATACCATTTCAGCGGATAAAGGATGATTATGAGGAACAGATGATAACGCTTAACAAGAAGCACAGGAAACAGCAAGAACACCTGCGCCGGAAATTAGAGTATAGGCGAAAAGCTCTGCATAGAAAACTGGAACATGAACTGGTACGTTATCTTACTTCGTGTCATTCAGCTTACGTTTGCACCTGCTAAATGACGGGGATTCTGAATAAAATGTAAGGATGTGGAAAATAAGTGCCGAGGACTTCAACTTTCACAATTCCCATTTATTCCCAGCGCCTCATTAAGTATTTTGCGCAGTCGCTTTTGCATGCACCAATTGAGTATTTCGCATTCATTCGCATTAATATTCATGATTTCAGTAATTGTAGGCTAATTACTCCGTTAGCCTGTGATTTCTTGATGAAAATGCTGGCACGAATTCCTCGCACAGCTCAAAATCTCCCACTTCAGTAACCTGTAGTTAAACCTTGCAGTATGTCTTACCCCACCCGTGGAGGTGGGGGATACTTACTGACTAGGTTCCGTAATCCTCGAGTGAGTGTTTTGCCTGATGCTCCAATTAATCCCTGTAGCAAAATCACCTGTTCTGGTAGGCCGGAAAAGTAACACACCTGCCATACAGAGTCAAGCTCACCTATCTTTTCATATAGCATATGTTCACCTTCATGTGTAACTGTGGTCTGCACAAGTGAAAAGTAACTTTTAGATCAGAAACAATGGTTTATAATTATGATAACGTCGAAACAGGATGAGACGAATGGATTGTTAGCGTACACTGAGTTATCTCAAGCGATTTTTTGGTATTATGACGCGCAAAGGTAACAAATGGAATGTGAAAATTTTAGAATCTAAGTCGTGGCTTTGTCCCGTTGTTGGGAAGTCAGAAACATCATAGATTCACATTTGACGCCAATCGGTGAAACTAGTTTGTGCAGCCAAATGGTGTATTGTTTGGGATACTATGCGGTGAAGTAAGACTTTATGAACTTCTATATAAAAAATTATGAACTCTACCAATTTAACTGCCATGTATTGTTGCAGCAACAAACTGTTTCTCATTTTTATAGGATGCAGGTGTAGATTCTTGCGCTAAGTAAATTAATAGTAGCTTTGGTTATCATTAAGCAGCTTCTTTGATAAAACTTAAACACACTCAGTTATTGATTTCAGATTTCCATCGCGTTGAGCTGCAGAACCACTGAGATTGAAACATCTATCAACAAACTCAGGTTTTTGATACGTTCTATAACCTCCTTCATGTTCATCTTTCAAGTGGTAGACTACGTTCCTTGTACTGCCCATAGCTACCCCAAAATCATAGCGGCTCGCCTCACCTCTAACCCAGTTATGAACGCACGCTTAGAGTTAGCTATTTGCAATTGGGTAACCAAATTGTGCTCACCAGTGAACAACCTATACAATGAAATAAGATAAATGAATACCCGCGACAACCGGGTGACTCAGTATTTTAATTTCAAGGTATGTTTTTTTATTGCAAAGCTGTACTTTTCTAGCCTTATCATAAAGCATTTGATTGGTAGTGCGGCAACAAAAGGAGCAAACAGAAAACAAAGTCTACTCAATCATCCACCGCAAACTCATCACCTCAGCGACATTGTAATATAATTCATAATTATCTTACTTAAACTGTCGGAGAAATATTTTTTCATTGGAGAAAATGGAGAAAATTCTGCAAATATGTAATAATTTATTGTGGTGAATATTCACCAAAGTTTGATCGTATTCTATGAAGGAATTTGTGATTGAGTTAGCCCAACGCGGAAACGTTAAATACTTCAATATGGCATCTTCTAGGCGAATAAACAAGTCATTTCCTTTAACAGAAAAAAATTTTGTACACTCACCCCCGTCCTCGCACATCTTTTCGATCAATAACTCTCTAAATAATGTTTGTTCTAGCTGATCTTGAGCTGCAGCCATTCGTTTAGTGTGATCTCGATTTCTTGGTTGTTCTGAGGTAACCATGCAATTCCTGAAAGAACCTAAGCAAATTTCGTCAGTAGTTGGGAAGAAAGGTTGAATATCTATGAGGTTTTTCCTGAGCAAACAGCACTCTTTTGTACGACTTGTTTGGTAATGTATTGGAATATTGGTAGCTCGGAGAGGCTAACTCATACATACCTTTCTTTGTTGGCTTGCACAAAATATAAGAACAGTTTTGCATGCAATTTCAGTGTCGAAAATCTTAGCAATAACGAGTGTCATAGTCAGCAAAAGTCAAAAATAACGTCAGGAGCTTTGCATTTTCAAAATTCTGCGAAATTCTGTGTCACAGACCTACGTAGTAAGATTAGCGTGTCCTCTGTTGGCGTAACAGAAGATGGCCGCTACAGTAATACACAATGTGCACTGGTTTTCCGACTTCTCTCCGTTGAATCTTGGGTTCAGAACTTCTCAGAGATTCATGCACTACGCCAGGCTGCTAATATCTTGCAGAAATTTTCAACACGCTGTTCGTCATGTAACTCTTTCAATACATCAGGAAGTGTCACTCTCCAATTATTTTTGATCCGAAACAAGTTTTCCTGAAAATAAGACCGCCAGCTGTAATCAAAATCCACGAACAACATCCTTTATTTGTCCCCCTTCATTTTATGTTTAAAATAGTCATAGGTACTAAGAAACCACATTGAATTCATTGACTTCACTGAGTTGTAGATGACAAACGGGGTGACTTGGTTTTACTAAAGAGGATGCTGAATGTGCGTGCTGTGTAACTGATGGCTGAATCTTTCACTGAACTGGGCCCGTTTTAGCAAACGTTTCGTCATCGCTCAAGATGACATGGATAGTGTACGTTGAAGTAGCAAGAGGGCGTTCTTCAGCGATGCTTGGGAGTGCAGGCTTTGAGAACGCGACACCCACACACCGACGTGCAGCACGAATAACGTCAACTTGACACCCGACCAACGGTGTGCGACAGAACCTCCAAGCTCAGCGAACAGCTTACCCATATTCGACGGTACTCAGGATGGAAAAAGGCAAACTCATCCAATAGATGACAAACTTAAACTTGACTTCCAAACTCCACTAGTGGAAACCCTCGCTGTGCAACAGACAAGCCGACGATATGATATGATGGACAGAGCCAACGTAACAATCATGAACGGCTAAAAGATGAATTATACTAATAATGTTACTTAAATGACTCGAACTCTAGATTGCTCAGTGGTTGATGCGTGAGAGGTCCTTGGTTCGAAACCAAGCCCGGCACCTTGACATAAAACCTATGCACCTAAAAGGTGTTAAAGCTGTACGACTACTTGTTATTATCTACAGTGGTGAGGGCTATGATCAAACCAATCCGCGTTTCCACAAGCAGCTGTCGGAAGGTGATACAGTTGCTCCTACTGCCCCAAATTCAAGGACAATGAAACTAACAACGTGGGATTCTATATGCCACTTCTAATGGGCCAGCATAGGATTGCCAGACAAATGCACACATTGGGACAAAGATCAACTAGGACTCAAATCCTTCCGCATGAGTACATCTCAAACAGACGTATAAGCGATCCGCCAGATTATGCAGCCCAAAATTAAGGTATACGAACTGGGGACAAAACACGCCAACTATCGGTCAAAAAAAAAAGAAACTAACAGTGGCATGAGTACATTTTGCTGTACATAAGGCCGAAAAAGACGTTGAACCCTCGTCTCACTTCAGACACCTCTGTACGTGCTACATTTTTTCATCCAATTTGTCACATTCCTCACAGGAGTTCTTATTCGATTGTTCGGCATATTCTCTTTGGGCTTGTAAGGCCAAAGTGAAACAAAAAAATGACTCACCGTCCCAAACATTTCGACCGGTGGATTTTCGTGCTTGTCTGTGCTTCGGCGCACAGACACTGAGTACAGTTTTAGCGCAATTGTTACCAAAACTATAGGTACATACAGGATGATGTGACACCTGTTAGGTTCGCAATGTTGCACACTTTTATTCGGGTAGAATTTCAATGATAGGCACAGAACATGACGAAGCGAATTCGAAGTTTCCAGCTACAGGTCCTGACTGAAATAACAAGATGATGAACAGATAATTATTGGGTAGAAACGAAAAACAGAACAAAACAAGCAAGGCAAGTGTCGTCTGATCTTAACTTATGATAAATTATTAGTTGATCGGTTCACTCCAACCTGTGTTAACATTAATTCTAATCATTAGAAATTCTCCCTATACCACCAAATTTCGTTGAATCGCAAGAATGATAAAACAAGCACGAATTACTTCAAAGTTTACCCGCCTACAGTGACTTGACGTGAATTTTGCCAAGTCAAAGAGAGTTCTCGAGCTATTCGTAAATGCGAATTCGTAAGTACCGATAAGAACAGACTGGGAAGATTAGTCAACTTTGTGTAGGAACGTGTTCAAGTAAATTTGGAACTGTTATCCGCACAATCGAATAAATCGGATGAGCCACTTAAGAAAATGCAACGTCTGATCGAATCAAAAGCGATAGTAATAAACGAATAACCACTCGTCTTCCAGTGAAAGGAAGGAGGCCTTCGCCGTGGAGTTATTTATCAGGAAATGCCAACTGATCAGCTACAGACTACTAGACAGGTGAGCAAAACTCTCATGTGCATTTTGTTTACAAAACTCAATATCCATCTTCTCCTTGAACGCCTCTTCCCGAACTTTCCTAGATATTCCTTGACTGTTGCTCAATTGCAAGCAAATGCTACAGAGCGACTACACAAAATCTGTAACAGAGATCGCTTTTCAAGAGACGCAAAGCGGTTTTACAGGAAAACATACTACTTGCATGCCGCTCACATCAGTAGCATCACCGTTACACCAGTAGCTCGCCAACTCGCAAGTTCTCCTACTTGGTTTTACAGGAAAACATACTACTTGCATGCCGCTCACATCAGTAGCATCACCGTTACACCAGTAGCTCGCCAACTCGCAAGTCTCTCCTACTTGCAACCGGTTTGGCTTTAACCGGAACTTTAACCAGGGAACTGTTTTGCTACCAGAAATATGATGTGATTACCGCGTTTGGAGGATGGGCAGATTGAGGAAGTGGTTATCCCGGGAAACTCGATCAAGAAAGTGACAAAAAGTTTGAAAAGCGTCGTAAACAACTAGAAAATACATGTTTAGTTGAAGGTTGACC